ACTAGGAGCAAAGGGCATCGCTAGTAGGAGCAAGGACATGCAAGGACGCTATTAGGGGCTCCTGGCCTTGCTACTAGCAGCAAGAAGCTACTAGGAGCAAAGGGCATCGCTAGTAGGAGCAAGGACATGCAAGGACGCTATTAGGGGCTCCTGGCCTTGCTACTAGCAGCAAGAAGCTACTAGGAGCAAAGGGCATCGCTAGTAGGAGCAAGGACATGCAAGGACGCTATTAGGGGCTCCTGGCCTTGCTACTAGCAGCAAGAAGCTACTAGGAGCAAAGGGCATTGCTAGTAGGAGCAAGGACGCTATTAGGTTTTTCCTGCTCCGACTTCTCAGGACGCAGCGACGACGTGCATCCGCCTTTTGAGAAGCTTCAGATTGACACAGTTCAGCGTGCAGGCGAAGACGAGCACAGCAGCTTAACTTCCTGATATATAATATTCTACAGGACGCCAATCATAAACATAGTAGTACTATGGGTCAACTGGGATGGAGAGTATGCACTTTTAGAGAACAGTTTGGATATTCAGGTCCGATCTTTTGCAAGACATTCTGGCTTTGGACTCTCTTCTTTGAAAGTGTCCGGTGCGTCATGAATTTGGAACAACAGCGCGTGCATGGTTTTGACTCCTCGTCGTGGCATGGACGTGCCCCATCGTAATGTATAGACGTGCTCCACTAGGGTTTGATTGATGATCCCACCATTTCCTTCGAACAAGCCCAGAGTTTTTCTGTATGGGTGGCTTTGCACTTGTTTTACTAGTGACTAGTGGCTGTTCATTGAGTGGAAGACCCACCAAAAGGGGTGGAACATCATGCATGACCAGCGCCCTCGATAAATCTGACAACAACCTCTTTTATTGCCACTAGTAGCGATGGCCTCCAACCCCAACCTAATAGCGATGGCCTCTACCTAGTAGCTTCTAGTTACTAGAAAGCTTCAAGGACATACTACTTAGTAGCTTTATTGTCCATGAGGCGTCCTTGTGGGTCCTGGCTGCTCCAAATGCCCCGGAGGTTTGGCCGCATCCAGCCACGAAGACCTCGAGTTCTACGTGACCAGCGTGGCTTCTGGGGAGTTCCTGCGGCTGTGAAGGTGAACAGAAAACAACTGCCTTTAAAGCGGATGGGGCAGTTCTTCCCAAGTTTAGGTGGTGAAATATGCATTCCCCCAGTGCCATCATGTCCTGAGTGGTCATAGCTGTGAATATCTGAGAAGGATCATAATGAAGCGGAATAATTACCGGAATACCTCCCAATTTCATGATCAGGATACACTAGTGACAGTAGTAGTGACTATCATGTCCTGTCTACTTCTGTGGTGTTTTTATCATCAGACTTTGAGTGCCAGGGTTGGGTCCAGGAGTAAGAGCAAGCAAGACCAAAAAGGGCAAAACACCCACTAATGCACAAATGAAGTGGTCACTGGTCCTTATTTGACCTGTCCTGGTCCTATCCTTAAATCACCTTACGTACAGTCGATACTGACAACTTCTTATAGACCTCAAGAAAGCATGGACCATTTTCTGTTCGAACGAATCCAACGGTCCCGAAAAGGTCGCCTTCGACCGTCGAGGGCCGTGGATCCTTGTGGTAGCCGTGAGTGATCACATCGCTTTTCCGGTGTCCGTGGGCAGTGCAGGAATCGTGGGTTTTGGATGGTTTTGGTGTGTCACGGACCAGGCATGATATCCTTTGTTTATATAATGATAATGTATATGTTTACATAACTATATGGGCACATGTAGATCCACATGAGTATCCACATGATATGATATCCCCTTGCGGAAAGTGGGCCTTGGAAGATGCTGTGGGTCATGTCGCCGGGCGAGGCCGCACAGTGGACTGCTGGAGAGGTCATGTGTGTCTTGTTGTTGGTGGGTTTCACCCGCCAGGTGTGTCACAAGTTCATGGTGGAGGACACATTCATGTTGTTTGTTCAGTAGTGTAGGTGCGTTCGACCATGTGGTCGGATCCCACCTTGTCACCTTCGCGATGAAAAAAGGCCATGCTCAAGGCGTCAAACATCCAGGAAAAGGTAAAAGGGCATATGAAGGATGTGTTTTGCCGCCCATTCAGTAGGTGGAGAGTGGGCACCCACGGCACCCCGATAGAAGCTTTGACCTTCGTTGGATGACCTGTTTTCGGTAAATTTCGATGATGAGGCTACTTGGCGGACAAGTTGTTGTTTTTCCAACATCTCCCATCTTCAGATTCCTTCCATACCCCGCGGACACATCCTTATAGGAGCCTGCCCTGGAACGATTCCGGTGTCTATCGGGTTTATCAAAGTTTTACACATGGAATGCCATGTCCTCAGAGAGGTCGGAGGCTTTCCAAACCGCGGCTTTGGAAGGGTGTGGGTCCACCCGGGCTCAGCCGACCAACACGGCAGTGCATGGCGTTTCCGGGCGTTTCCGCTTGGCGAGCGACGTTGTTTTTGGGGAGGTTGGCCACTTCTCCAGAAGGCTCTCTTGATGGATAGTTGAAGCTGCTAATTGATCAATGTCCAGAGGCCAACAGCCACACTGCCACCTTCCAAAACTGTCGTTGAAAATCAGTTCCCGCTCCCTCAGACTCAAGATCCTGCCTATTCGCGCTAAGAAGGCGCATGATGGCTCAACTGACCACCATCCCACCCCGGTGAGAGGATGGGAGCTGTAGGATCTAGCAGGGATAGAGCCTTTGATGACATTGAGACACTTGAGTTAGCAATGTCTAAAGTTAATTTAGAGATCGAATCTACAAACAAAATCAAACAAGATGTCTTGGAAGCAGTTGACACGTTCCCTTCAATGAATCACTATGCTGAATTTCTTCTTTGGAAGGTGCTTCCTCTTGCAGGGTGGGAGAGGGTCACCTGGAGATTTTCGGCCCTGCCATGGGCAGTGCAGACATCCTGAGGTGTGGCGGGCCACTAGGGCGGAAGACCTAACTCCGCAGCGCCAGACACAGTGCCAGTCCATGAAAGAGACACTAACCCCTTTGCAGGAGAGGAAAGCCTGGGGATCGGAGAGCCGCTTCTTTCCCCTAAATTCGGTGGCTCAATTTCGTTCGTTCATTTTGGATGAACCTTCTGGCTTTCGAGGAGTAGGCTCAACAGAGGAATGAGCATCCAGCGGAAGGACGCCCGACTGAGCTATTCATGTATATATGCCAGGACCGATAATTGTTTCCCATGCGTTCGGCTATAGATTAAGGTGCACGTAATTGTGTTTTGGTTAGGGCCTGGCTCCAAACAATCACAAGTCATTATGTAACTATCATCAGTTCACAACGTTTAATAAATTTCATATAACCACTTGTCGTGTCAGACAAGCTCATTTCAACATCGGTTTCCTGACTTGGTTGTTTGAACGTTGGCCGCCCAACACATCGTTTGTTGATGATGTTGATGTATGGCCATCCCAACAAGTTACTACAGTATAGCTCGCGTAAGTTTGCGTTCGGTGATGCCCGAACCGTCCTTGACCGTGGAAGATGATGGAAGATGCTCATCCTCAGCCAATTGTTGGTCAGACTTCAGTCGCCAACTCGGCCGCAGAAGCGAAAACGACTGCCCAGCAGCGAAGGGCAGGCTTGGCAGGTGTGGATTGTTGAACCGGTGTGGCTTGGCAATGCTTGGCAATGCTTGGCAGCATCGTCCAAGAATGTTGCTGCACTCAAGAGGTCAATTGACAATCATTGCTGCTGTTTTGGGGAATTACCGGGGGGTTGGCACCTAGCAAGGAAACACCTCCACAGTGAGATTCGAAAGGCTTTGGCCCAAACGCGCGCATGCCATGGCTTTCGCTGTAAAGCTGAGCGTGCCGACGAAGGCAGAAGCGGGTGTTTCGCGTCGTGTTTCTGAGATTGGGAGTTCCAAGTGACCATGTGCACCCAGTTTCCTATAGAAGAAAAGCAGAAGAATAAACAATGTTGTTATCAACCCCGTTCGACCCCTTTGAGCTTTATGAAAGGTGCCGATTAGCCAAAGTGTGGGTCCTGGTGCCAAGTCTAGCCAAAAGTTTGCAAAAACGATATGTGCATGGCTACCGATGTTCTCTCAGTGCTACTGGTATGGTGCCTGGTGGTTACTGTAAGTGAACAAATCGCGCCCAAATAGGGGGGCTGGACTCTTTTGCCCTCAGTCGAAGCTGAAAAAGAAGAAAAGATTCTTGGACTCATTTGGCCTCGCAGCATGTGACTGTTGGATCATTCACTGCAGGCTGGCCTGAATGGCCAAACGGCGGATGCGCAGTCTTTTTGGTTCAGATTACTTTTACAGGAGGAGCGCAGGCATCCAAACTTGCTTGGAGGCTTTTGTCCCTGAACCTGGACCCTCAGCAGCAATATGCATGATGCCACCATATGGGTGATTTTGTATGGTTACCCTTTCCAGGCTGCGGCTACTTGCTACCCATATAAATGGCCCAACTAATCCAAACAGTGCTGTCTTCTCCGAACCCTGCCGCTGGACTCCGGGTCCAAGGGGGGGCGACCAGTTGTTCAAGTTGAATTTTAAGTTGAGACCCATTACCAGACCCTAAAGCAGAAGCACGATGGGAAGACCCATCATGCCCCAAAAGGCCCCATGGCCGTCAGCCGTTTGTAGAAAGCCCGACCCGACCACCCACCGCCCGCTGCCGCGGCCTGTTTGCCCATGGCGACCGCTGGACCTCCGCAGAGCTTCAAGCCCAGCGCGCCCGGTGCGCCGCGCGCCGAGCCCGCGGAGCGCCCCACGCGGCGTGCACGCTCCAATGTGCCGATCAGGGCGCGGGCGAGAGAGGCGGGGGTGGATCGTTTTGTGCAGACCACTGAGAAGCAGAGAATTTCGGTGCTGTGGAGGGGTCAGAAATGTCCTTAAGCTGCCACGGCTGGGCCAAGTGCCTGCTTTTTTACATTCACTTGGCCTTCCTTAGCCTGCATCAAATCCCAAGCGTGTGTGTATCATCTAGCTAGTTAAACATCTGGACTTCATTCCCACACAGCCTTGCACTCCGTACGACCCCCTTTGGTTGCGAGCGTAGTCGCTCTTCACACTCCACATCGCCCGCAGGAGCGTGAAGACTCATCGCCTTGGCTGGACTCCGACGTGGTCCCCTTCGGCGGGCAGCGTTGGCCCTCACTGGGTGCCACGATCTCCGCGCAGACACGGCGTGAGGTGCGGCAACTCCTGGGGCAACGGCTTTTGGACCCTTAGCGCGATCTGGGGTCGTCACTGGAAAGAAGACAAACCGCTTTCTGGTGAATGGCTGGGAAGTTTGGACCATGACTCTCCATCAAACCATCCGAAACCTATACAATGTGGGTGAAGTATACAATACACGCAGCCAGATTTGGTGTCAAGGTGTGATTATTCTATCTTGTTTTGCTTTGTTTTCAGAGTGTGCCAACTTTTATACATGATTGTTTGGTATGTAGTATTGGTTTCCTGATCTCTTGCTTAGTTTGTTCCTTTGTTGCCACTAGTTCCTGAGATGTTGCTTAAAGTTTGTGTTCATCGTATGTTTCTCAGACCTGTGGGTGTAACTTGTTTGTCCTTTTTGACTGGTTTTCTGAGAGGTTGCTTCATGTTGTTTGGGCATTTCTGGCCAGTGACCTTCGCATTGTTAGGTGGTAATTTCACACCTGCGCCCGTCCAAGGTGTTGCCAACCCGTGGCACCCCAAACAAAATACCTTCAAACAGATCGTGAAGCAACATTCTAGGAACCAAGGCAAAGTAAAGAAGAACTAGAAACCCTTGAACAACAGTAGTGTAGTCCAGGACTGGTTTTCCGGGAGCGCCCAATAACTCCAAAATGATCGGAACCTTCATGTTGAGACTGCGTAAGCTTGTACAGTGCTTTGCCTCAGGAAAATGAATATTCTGGATGGCAGATGCCATTTCCCTACGAGCTGCCCAGCCACTCGGATGTGAAGCCACGCCGAGGTCTCCCGCATCGCACATGATGTGGTTCCTGGCCCGTCCTGTTCTTGAGACGGTATGAGACAAAATACAAGAGGGGCTTGCCAACCCACAAGGGACAGTTTCTGGACTTGAGACTTTCGCATGTTTTGGCCCAACCCAAAGGGACCAAACACCTCTCTCATCATTGCCTAGCGCCTCATTGGATCTGAAAGAACGCCTTGAGACTCTCCAGGCGGTGAGCCATGCCCAGTCTGCGCCCTGGGCGAGTGTGGCGATGTGAATTGCCCAGCCTATCGTCCGCGGCGGCCGGAGATTCGGGCGCAAATTGAGGAGGCGGTGCTGCGACACGCGGCGTCGCTGGGAGAAGTTGGCAGTGGCGAGTCGGGATGGGAAGTGTGGGGCTGTGGAGCTGTGGTTTGGGCGTTGGGGATGCTGGTTTTCAATTGCCGCAGGGGCTGCGCAGGAGTTCCCAGAATGTTCGTATTTACACCATATTTGCAGGTGCAAATAGCGATGATTTTCAAGGGGTAATCTATTTGAGGCATCGCTGTGTGTCAGAAAGATGAAACCTTTATGTGGGAGCGATGTTTGAGATGCTTAACACGGGGCAACCCAATTGATTGCGTGGTTTCTGCAACACTGATGAAGATCCTTTCGAAAGGCAGACGGTCGCGGTCGGAGGTTATGGTGCACCCTGACCCCGGTTCTCATAGCAACGCCCGGTGCTTGTAGCGAGTGTCTTTGAGGTGAAATCTAATTAATTTGAATTTCCACATACCTCAATCCGGACTGACCCCGTGGCCATGCGACACTGCTCACGACTCTGTCACGTCTCCAAGGCAGCGCTTCGCCAACAGTGGCATCAACACCTATGTCTCGGTGGGGGCGGGTTTGTTGGCTCAAGACTGGATGATCATCGAGAAGTTGCGCCAACAAGCAGCGGAACTGCAGCCCTCTCGCGTCGTCTTTGTGGACCTACAAAGGGCCCAGCCAGTCCCTTGGCACCTAGAGAGGTGCATCTTAAGACATTCAGATATGAAGTCACCCTAGAGTTGATAAGTAATTCATCAGCTACATTTGTCAAATGTTTGAGAAATTACCTGCTAAACCCTTTACATTATGATGTATTGTCATTGTATGTGTTCCTTTAATATCTCTCTGTTTCAATGTGTATATATATATATAAACCAAGTCAGGATTAATAAATCCCCCCTAGTTAACCCGAGCCCACAAAGCCGCCGGAAATTGACCAAATTAAAAGTAATATTTGCTGTTGATTTCCCTCCCTATGGTCTAGTTTTCTACCAACAATCCCCCCCAGTTAATCCGAGCCCACAACCAGGTCAATTTTTCGTACTACTACTACTACTGCTACTACTACTACTGCTACTACTACTGCTACTGCTACTACTGCTACTGCTACTAGCTATTGCTGCTGCTGCTGCTGCTGCTGCTGCTGCTGCTCTGTTACTGCTACTGCTTTGCTACTGCTACTGCTACTACCACGACCACCAGCGCCACCTCCACCACCACCACCGCCACCACCACCACCACCATCACCACCTACCACCTACTACCTACTACATGTTTGATGAAATCCTTAAAAATGTCTAGGGCTCAGGGCCTATAATTTGCCTTATGAAAAAAGAACAATTAAAAACAATCATTTGACAAGCTCACAAAGGGTACCCCTGACAAGGGCCGGTCCCCCATCAATAATCTGCACTACTACACCCTATTAATTTGATCCTGTGTCCCGTTTAAACTTGTTGTGGCTACTACTACCACTACTGCTGCTGCTACTGCGACTACCACTACGACTACTACTGCTGCTGCTCCTACTAACACAACTACTACCACTACCACCACCTACTACCTACTCCCTACTACCTACTACCTTTACCTACTACCTGCTACCTACTACCTACTACCTACTACTACCTACTACCTATACTACCTACTACCTACTACCTCCTACTACCTACTACCGACGACGACTGCGACTACGATGGCTCCCTGAGCCGATAATTCAGGGGGAGTGGACCTCATGAGTGGTATCTCATACCTTCTTGACCCCTTGTTGACCTTCCATGTGGGGGGGTTTATTAATCCGGAGTTGACATTAGATGTTAAATGCTTAGGTTGCTATTAGGTTGGAGGCCATCGCAAGTAGGTTGGAGGCCATTCCTATCACACAGAGACCAGACCTCGCCTCTCAGCTCCGGTCCTCACTCCACTCCCAGTCGCTCTCCGTGTATCTCCGAGGTCATCGCCTGCGAGGGGAAGAAGCTCTCAGCGGAGGAGGGCGGCTTAGACCTGGCCCAGCTTGGCTTCGCAGGCGCCGTTTTCGTGCAATGCTGTGTGCACCCCACCCCACCGCGCAGAGCGGCTGTTTGGCTTTGTTACAGCAGTGCTCGGTGAATGAATGGATGGGTATGATAGTTCCGTGCCACCAAGTGGTTTTTGTATGTTATTTGAGTTATATTTGCTCGGTTGATTTGGGGTTATGTTTCCAAGTGTTTTGGAAAATGATGTATGATGATGCAGTTCTTATATATATTTTTTTATATGTGTGTGTGCATACATTACATGACATAGCCTTGAGGTAGTCCAACTGTGTTCATGCCCAACACGGTAGGCATATGGTAGGCATATGGTTCTCCACTCAATGTTACTGGGCGGACCGACTTTGTGTCACTTAGTGGTTGGATATTCAGCTCAAGTATTTTGGGGTGTGGGCTGCTGGCTTGGAATCCTACCGTAGTTGCTATTAGTTGGTTACATTTGCGGCGCATCGCACGCGTTTGGATTCCTTCCAGGAGAGTTGGGCTTTGAGTTTTCCTTCTCGGCAGTGATCAATTTTCAGGGCGAGAGCTGCTATGGAAGTCGTTTGTTCGATTTTTGCAACGGAGTGGAGGAGGACACTGCGGACGGGTGTGGATTTGGCGGTTGTTAAGGTCTGGCAGCCACGCTTTCAGACCTTTGGGACATCCATCCGTATCCAGGAATGCCTTGGGCAATCGGAGGAAAGCAAACAACCAATCCATTTAGAGAGAACGTCATATGTTGCGTCATTCTGATATGTTTCTTCAGGTTAGGCGGTGTTCCAGCTCTGGAAGTCTCAACAACAGTGCACTTCCCCTCTTCCATACTTCATTCAGTTGCCTATGTGGACGAAGCCTGATAAATGGAGCCAACAAGACAAAAAGGGACATCAAGTCATCAAGGTGAAGCATACTGCGACAAAAGACGGAACCAATAAAACAAAACAAAAGACGAAACAAATGTCCATAGATTCCGAGATCTGAGACATGGGTCAGTCGTGATGCAACACCCATGCGATCGGCCAGAATTCGGGGCTCAGAGAAGGCCCAGGTTTGCTTGGTTTCCTGACCTTAGTTTTCTCCAAAGGCGCAAGTTCTTGCTAAGTCTTGCTTTTGAGCCAATCACTGCTTCGAAGGACTCGGTCGGGTGCTGTGGCTCACGTGCTTGATGCTTCCATTTTTGCCCTGGCGTTGGTGTGAGGACAATATCTACGTGGAGGTGCTGCCGGGCCAACACCCTTCAGACGCCCATGGCACCTTGATCTTCACGGTGCGGCGTGGCGGCGAGGAGGCACAGGTTGCAGCCGCAGGCGCTTGGATTCCCAACCAGCCACACTCGTACCTCTTCACCGCTGCTGGGACTGAAGAATCGATATGGTGCGGGTGGGCTTGGAGGTTGCGAGGCGCTAATTTAGCGAGTTCGGGAGGTGAATTGAAGCGACTGAGGACTATTGAAACAGTTCTGTTGGGGACTTTGCCTGCAACTTTTCAACTTGCCTAAGGGTTACCTCCCTGACCCTGTCTTCAGTGGAGAGTGGGTGGATCACCCACGCACACACATATTGAGCACTTCAGCATTGACAGGTGGGTCACAGCCCGTCTTGGGCAGTGAGCGGTATTATGATTAGGCCATAATGGATGTTTTAATTCCCAATGTTCAGAAGAAGCTTGGGGCGCACTCAGCCAAGAGATCCATCACTTTATTCATCCTCCGTTCTTTTGTTGAACAATTAGTGACTTCAATCATTCCACTTCCGTTGGCCCAGGTGAGCTCCACCGGTGTCATGCGGATCTACATCGACAACCAGCTGGCCATCAGCCAGCCCGGACACCCGCCGGAGCGGAAGGTCCGGACGAAGCTCTACTTGGGGCGGTCCTCCAACTCGCAGGCCGGTCGGGCGCCCGACAGGTGCAGTGGTTTGCCCGGTCGAACCCGATGAGAGCGGCGCAGGGTTAGACCGTTGCTTTGATTAGCCAGATCAGCCGCTTTGCCCAGACCGCAGGTCATGTTCTGCGGGGACATGCGAAAGATACAGGTTTGGAATCACTGCGTGCAACCTGGAAATGTGGAGTCTTGCTTGCGCAACAGTGAATCTGGGAATCATGGGCACGAATGGAAACCCACAACTGTCACATGCTTAGGTGGTCATTTTTGCAGGAATTTCGGGGTTTTCTTTGCCGAAGCACAATAATCGAGGTCTGACATGGGAAGAGGTCACCCTCGGAATGGTATGGGAGGAAAGTAATTACACTGGCAGAGATCCAATGATTGATGGTCATGTCACGTCGTTCTCGTGTTCTGATTGATTGGGTTTCTGGCAAATGCCTGGGGTAGAAGAGAAGACCCTGAGAAATGGAGGCCCAACGGCATCGCCAAAGCGCCAAGCCCGTGTAGGATGCTTGACCCGCAGATCATCATCCTTTCTCCCCAAGCTATAGGATGGCCTTTGCTCTGATGAGTCGCAAAGAGCCTTGAACCAATTCGCCCGCTGGTTTGCCAACGATTTGAGCGTCTATACCTTTGGTAGCTTCGCATCCTATGCGGCGGCGGCAGCGGAGGATTCCAGGCGAGGTTTGTTCATCGGTTCCGCTAGCGGGTGGAAAGGATAGACAGCATCGCAACCGACTTGACGGGTGGAAGAACTGCGGGTTCAAAGGGTTCGGGTACCATTGCGAGGATATAGTCAATAGTGCTGTGGATGTTTATGATTTTTTGACATTCCCACATGATGGTCGAAACCAAAGGCAACCCTTTCCCCCTCAAGATAAAATTACCCATCTCTCCCACCAGACCCTCTGATTGAGCAGTTCTTCACTTTTTTCCTATACTGTAATTCCTGCTTGGAGGGTTTTGGTCTGGGATTGTTGATTTCTCGATGGTCCGAAGATCGGAGCCAGAGGTTCCAAGCGGATCTTCTTCTGCAGATTGACCTGCACGAGGAGATCGATGGTGCCCTGAAGTTGGCAAAACAGAGGTTGGGTGGTTGCTCACTCTCCAACAAACACAGAAGATCATGGAAGTGGATAGTAGTACCAAAGGGTGTAAAACTTCCATGTCGGGCTTTGAAGGAGAGCAGTCACTCTACAGAATAGTTACAGACCTCTGAGAGTCATCGAGTGAGGTCTCTAAGGTGGAGTCATGTACGTATGGCCCCAAATGATGCGGCCTGGCCGCCGGGTGAGGGTCTGGGGAGGTTGAAGATCATCCAATTGAATAATTATCCACTTGCCATCCCTTTGGTGTTTGCCAAGGGTACTGCGGGTTCCAGGCTGACTTGCAGATGAGTATAACTGAGGCTTTGACGACCTGGCAAAGAAGGTATTGAGCTCACAAGGCGCGCAGGCATGCACTCTTTGGTGTATAGCTGATGAACTTCTGGGGGATGACGTCATTAGCACGTTCCCTCTCAGTCAGTCTCATGGATCATGTCTTTAAATGCCTTTACAACTGTAAATAGACAGAATTGAAACCGTTTGCATGATCTCCTAAAACCCTGCCGGCATGACATGGTTCCACCTCATTCCACCTTCACTTGGCTCTCCCACCACGTCATGTCCAGTGCCCATGGCGATGCCTCTCGAGGTATGGCGATGAGCTTGGCTGCTCCAGGGCGCAGCTGGCGCCGGGAGGGTGCCAAGGTGGTCCAGTTCGAGGCGAAAGACGCAAAATCATCTCTATCAGAGAACAGCGATCTGGTCGATCTTCAGGATCTGAATCGATGATTGGATACAGGAACAGGATACTATCCGATTATCCGATATCTATCTGAGCATATCAGCATCATCGACACAAGACTCCACACAGTCACGACACTTGTGCATGTTTGACCCGTTTGTTTTTGGTCGTTTCGGCCTGAGTTTTTGTTTGGATCGTTTCGGCCTCCCCAGTCATTTCAGACTCCTTGTAAAGGTCTGCAGCTTCCCCACTCCAGCCCATCGCGGCCATATAGAGCACCCACAGAAGCACCCAGCGTTTGAGAAAGGCCCACATGTGCTGACATCAGAGTCCTTGCGCCTTCGGAAACACCATTAATTCATATTGTCATTTTCAGATGTTGGACAAATTCATAAAGACCAGTGTCAGGTTAAATATGTTGAACTAAGTGTTCGTTTTGGACCTGCAGACACCGGTGACCAGGTGGAGTGCGAGGCCTTGACGCATTTGGAGATGCAGAAGCGGCAGCCCTGGGTCTTCTTTGGGCCTGGGAAGAGCGGCCGGAACCACTTTTGCGAGGTGGAGTGCGGGTGTGCTTCCCTGCTCCAATCAATCGTGGTTCGATTCTTTTCTGGGGGTGAAATTGTTGCTTCTTGTGCAGGTTGGCAGTGGACAAATGACATAAAGCATTACTAAGTAGTAAGTAGACTATAGTTATACCGGAGCTACCTGTCCCCCTCATGATCACAATGTCACTCTGACAATGCGACTTGTTGCACACCCACAGCAGTCCAACCCGTTTCCAAAGGCTCGTTGATGACGTCCCCATGTTGGAACATCTGACGTTGGAACGTTCGCCCAGGAGGAGAGCCGGTATTTGCGCCTCTCCGGCTGGGCGCCACGAACAAAGAGATCCACCCGAAGCAACCGGAGATCCCACGGCTGAGAAGCTGCGCTGAGCGATGCATCATTCATGCCGGTTTTCAAAAAAAGAAATAGGGGGAAGCTATGCTTGAACAGTGCAGGCGGCTTTGTTTTGATGTTTTGGGCATGTTTGGCTTTGTGGTGGGTTGTGGGATGTGTTTTTCCAAGTGGATTGTTTGCTTTCCTGTGCGTACCTGTGTCTTTTCCTGTCCATTTTCAGCCCATCCACGAAACACGGTCTGCGCGACGGCCCGTGCTGGACCGGACCGAAGACCAGGTCGCAGAGATGGCTTCGTCGGTGTGCGAGAGGGTGTGGCAGCCCGGTGCAGGGCCATGGGTTGGCCGGGCTCGGTACAGCCGGTTGGATTGGCAAGGGCAAGGGATGGCAAGAAGGGCCCACTGACGACAACCATATCTACAATGCAGCCTTGCAAAGATCTTTCTGATTCATCCGCTAAAGGCTTGGCTACACCAATGCCGTGTCTTTTTGACGATGCAGTCGAAGGCAAGGTTGATTTGGCACCTATCGTTTATAGTCTTAAAGTTCAAGACTGAGGGCAACACCGGCCGTGTCACTGCGTTCTTCACTTGCTAATCACTTAGCACATGGGATTTTTTGTATGTTTCTCCACTCGTTTGGTGGTGATTTGTCTCACTTGTTGATTGAACATAATTTCTTCCCTTCTGGCTGTTGGCCTATGCGGCTACTGAAGACAATGCCTGAAGAGAGGCTAACTACCTCCAGAGGCCAATTGAACGAAATTGAATATACATATATTAATACATTATATATGTATATAATGTATATATAAATTAAAGTATTTGTATAAATGCTGATATATACATATATATATTAATACATATTATGTACATCATATCCTAAGGACCGGTGCCAATCATGAATGACTCGTGACTGGCAATTGGGTACTTCTTGGGTTTAGGCTGATGTTTTGCTTCGAGGCACCCAACCTACTTTCGCACTATTTCAATCCCAAGCAAGCTCCTGGTAGCGATGCCCTAACTTGTTGCTTCGGCTACAGTGGCCACTCCCATGTATCGCCACTTCGCCGAGTCAGACGCCCCTTCGAGGCTGGGGTTGGGGCAGACGGACCTGGGCCGGCTTCATTGCAGTGTTTTTGGAGTTTGGACTTCTCCAGGTTAGAACAAGTGGCGGTGTTCTGAGGGATTCCCACATCAAAGGCACACATGGCACACGTTGTGTGCTTTTGTTCTCAGGGTGGCTTCAAAGCTGACCTGACTAGCTTTGCAAATCACCATGTGCTTTCTATCTCAGACATACCACTACCAGTAGATTCTCACTAATTACTCTAGATGTTAACTGCAATTTCAGACATGGGTTTTGAACAGTCTTTGGCTGCATTTCCAGCAGCCATAAGTGGCCCAAGGGAAGTGATGTTCTCAGGAAATCCACATGAGGTGCCTGTGAAACAGGCTCTTTTGCGAACGCAGCTGCCTACTGCGCGCTCGGGCAGCGCGCAGTCCGCACAGCGCACGCTGCGTTGCCACAAAGAGCTGGAAGATGACCGTGTGACAGCCCCTTGATGCGATTTGGTGCTAAAAGGTTTTCCCAGTTTTCCCTCAAGACCAACCACTTCAACAAACTCTACCAGCAGGCGGCTCCTCTCGTGGAATGATGGGATATGACGGGTGCCCCACAAACGAGACTTCCTCTGCCTCGTCTCGCCTCGGGTGGAGGTGAGTGGAGGTTCGCCTTTGTCATGCCGGGCATTGCTAGTAGGTTGGAGGCCATCGCTAGGTTCTCTTAAAGTTTGTTTGCATCCTAGGAGTTGGGGCTTCATCGGAAGGAGCTTCAGACCTGTGGCCATTTGGCATCACGGGTCGGCCGTGGGCAGCGGCTGGCAGCGTTTGGTTTGACGCATCGTTGGGCCGGTCGGCACCCTTTGAGGGGAAGACATCGCACATGCAAGGCGTGCTCAAGTGCAATGGATGCAAGTGGACTTGCTACAGGTGTGCCTGTGGCGGTAGTTCAGAGCAAAGGTTTGAAGGGCCTGCTTGGGTTTGGAAACAGCGAGCTGGTGTGTACTCCTTCCAGCCTGGTGGATGAGCCTAGCTGCTCATCCGACAGTTTGGCACATATAAATAGTACTGGTATTCCGGTATTATATGCAATATTATGCTGCAATGCTAAGCTAGTACGGCCAGGGATACGACAAACTCAACAGCAAGGTGGGTTCCATAGTTGCAGAATATTCCTAACTCGGAAGGCGGTCGCCTTTGTTCCTGCTATTGTTTCTTCGCCTCAAGCGCGCCGCGCGCCTGAGAAACGGTTGACCTGGCCGAGAACAAGTTCACTCACGAAGCTTTGCGTTACATCCTGCCCTACTGTTCCTTGCCTGATAGCAGCAGTGGGTCGAGGGTACAAGACCCAGGCGACTAGGTGACCGGAAGAATGCATGCATCGCCGGAACTTTCGAGAGGGCCGCGTTGCAACCAAGGGCAAGAGAAGGAAGCTGCAAACAATCGGATGCAAAGGAAGCACGCTCTTGACGTTTTCTGATATATGGAGTTGATGGCATAATAATTAATTACACACAGCCACTGGCTATCACATGTTCATTGCCTGTCAACAGGAAATGGGATGATGTCGACACCGGACAATGAACTCGACCCCATAGAAGGTCATAGAAGGTCAGAAATTCTGCGAACTAGATTTGTTTGGGACCATAGAAGTTGGGGAGGGTTATCAACAAGATCTTTGTGGGGAACGACCTTCTTCAGCTCGAAACACCTAAAACGTCAGCCGTCAAGCTAAAGGTTGTGAAGAAAGCGAAAAGCAGGAGAGAAATTGGTCAAATTACTGGGTGGGTCCTCAATTTTGTATTGAAATTACTGTAGGCTGACAGGCTTTGGTAGAATACATGCCCTGACGACTTTTGCAGTGAGTGAGTATTAGGCCGCCCAGGTTTTTCCTTGTGAAACTTGACATTGCCTGGAGCAGTCGCTGTAGATCACACTCGTTGAGAAGTCCGGTATGAGCAGATCTAAGGCCTGCAGTTTTCAGGACGGGTCAGCTGGGATTGTGGCGAAGCAATGCGAAGCATGTTGTCATTGTATGATTGAGAGTAATTGCCTTTCATTTCCACCTGGGGGCAGCCACTCACTTACAAGAGCTGGAGCTCCTAGCATTTGATTGTGTTAGCCCAGTGTGTCTCGTGGGCAAAAACCTACACACCTACTTACATGGTGTGTACACAAACGCCGGCGGACACATTGCTCGTGCAAGGACTGGAAATCTTGAAACTCTACAAGAACGACATTGGGGATGAAGGACAATACAGCTTGACACATGGGCCAGCCACCGTGTGGAGACCTCGACATGCTGCGAGCAACACCTCCAGCTGCAGCCACGGAAATAGATGCGGTACAAAAAAAATATCAAAAATGGTTCAGATTCAAAAATTATTGTTCCATATCGTTATGTTCCTCCGGGGGAAAACGCAGGTCCCTGGTGGGTCAGGAGCAGAGCTCTTGGCGGACTTCTGTGAGGGGAGCTCATCGCTTCGCTGCTCGGGGGCAGAATGGGGCAGAGCGGCGTAGCGACGGCGTAGGAGCCAAGGTGGCTGTCAACTTATGTCTGCCGAGTAGGGAAATTGACTATGGATGACTATGGCATTTGTGTGTGAAAACAAGGCCACGCGAACACTCCTTCGCTTACGGAAAAACATGCTTACTTCGGGTACTTTGGGCAAGGGAAGACCTCAACATTGGTTGCATTTGTTCTTGCTGGGGCGTGGAAGTCACGATTGCATTGCACCAGCGAGCTCGCCGAGGGTGCCGCATCGCCGCATCGCGTGAAAACCTTCCCCTGGGGGTTCAACTCCTTGGGACGTCTCGACTGGCGCCCGCTTCACCCCCGCCCTGCTAGCTTTCGTCACCAACCCTCGGCCTCAAGTTATTGCTGGGTCCTTCAGTGGTAGCCTTTTAACATCATTTGTTGAACCCGGACCATGCTTTGTGACACTACTTCTCAACCATATGACCCCTCACCAATTACTCAAGGTGGGTGTTGACTGTCAGTGGCCAAGGACAAGCCACTAACTGGCCATAGAAGACAGAACTTTTGACACATCAGTGCCAGCAGCCCAACCCCCAGGTGAGCTTCACCTCTCGCACAACCGGATCCGTGCGCATGGGGCCGTGGTCATTGTGCATGCGGCAGAGCGTTCCAGGAGTCACGTCCGTTCTCGTCCGTCCTCGGCAGAAGCGGCTGGGCCACCTCAAAGCTCCACGGCTCAAACGTGGGAGAGACCCCGCATGAGACACCTCCAGTTTTCGTGGTACTTCCCGCAAATGTTTTATTCTATCACTAGTCAGATTTACATGTTCGTTTCATCGATTCATCTTGGAAAAAAGATTCGACCGTGTTTCCACCGCACATCCATGAATTGTGTGAAGCAAACCCCGCACACCTGGGAAGCACAGAAAATTCTCCTTCACCATGCTTCACCGTTGTTTTGACTAAAGATGCATCTACAAGACATTGGGTGTCCTTGGGTTGCTAAGACAAGGCAGGAGACTCTCTCCATGAGCCACATGCACCAACCGATGTGCGTTTTTTCAATGGCTGTGCCACTTGCACAGCCCTTGATGGAGGACATCTTCGACACGTACCCCTTTGTGGCTGCGCCTTTTGGAGCCTAAAAGGTTGGTTGGTTGAGAGCCTTTTCTCCCGGTTGGATTGAAGCCGAAGATGCCGTGAATCATGCATAGTGTGTTCATGACCAGATGTGTCGTTCGATCATGTTAAATCCCAATGGCTGTACGATCGTATGCAGTGCAGTTAGTTGTGGCAATTCTTCATGTCCACTGTCATAACCTCCCTGACACACAGGATGGGGCCACCCTCCTGCCCTGAAAGAAGACTGTTGCTACTAATTAAGAACCTTCATTCTGGAAGAACCCTTCTTTGCACAAACATACATACTGAAATTGGACTGAGACTTGGGAAGGGGGAACGCCGCTGGGAGGCTTTTGGGACAAGGCTTGGGGCCTGCAAATGCTCGGGTGGATGCAGTTTTAAATTATATCACGAACTGCAGTGTTCAAGGAGTCGAGGGGACATGGCTCAGGCCTGGAACGGAATGCGGTGGAACACCCGGCAGATGCTTGGCTGCGACGTTGGTGTAACGGTGTAACGTGGCCTTCCTATGTTCCAAAACTGGCAGCATGAAGCAAGGTATCAGGTATGGCTGGTATGGCTCAAAAGTGGGATGGCTTATCAGAATTACTGTACGCCAGCAGTAGTCTTCGGCTGGACATTGTTTGTTTCCTTAAATTAACTGATTTGAGTGCAAAACCAACAGGATCGATAGGGGCCCACCCAAAACTGATGCCCCAAACAGTTGTAGATGTACAAGACAACCTGAGACCGACAAGGTACCGCCATGTACCACCCAAATACATGTAAAGAGATGCCGAAACCTGAAAACCGATAGGGGCCCACCCAATTTATAGACGTCCTTGGCGGGCAATAAGTAATATTGTCCGACATTCACATGCTGGTTCCTCTTAATATTTCCTTTGGAGAAACTGTCACAGATAGCTGTGTTCTGTTGATATCCCTTTGTGTCCCAGCGAGCGGCAAGTCCGAGACATTCCCAGACAACTTGAGTACGACAATGATTCCTGGATTCGCTTCACCGGAACACTGAACATGAAAAAGGAACAATTGCCCGTGGCCATGGCCAGAATCCTGAGCTTCTTCGGCGGAGTTAGTTGTTTAGTTTAGTAATAGGATCGTTTTGGTCAATCCTCACCCCTGACAGCTCCCCATTTGCTCCACCCAAAGGACATTGCCGACGCACTGCAGCAAAAGCTCAGCGTTTGCCTTCGCTTAGACCGGCGGGGCATGCCGGGTGACGGCTGTGAGTGAAAGCAACATGCGGACTCTGTGGACTCTGTGGGGCATGGGCTTGATGTATAGCGTTGTTAGTCTGTTAGTCTTTCTCAATTCACGCTGCCATGGTTTCTCAATTTTTGGTTCTCCAGGCTCGCGCTAACTGCCAACAACTTGACGACACCAATTGCCTGCTTGACAGGCGTCAATG